TCCCAAGGCATATAGTAGTAAAACTAGCAAAAATCAACAACAAAGAGAAAATACTAAGGGCAGCCAGGCAGAAGAAAATAACTTACAAAGGAAACTCCATAAGGCTATCAGCAGATTTCTTAGGAGAGACCTTACAGGCTAGAAGAGATTGGAATGAAATATTCAAAACTCTGAAGGACAAAAACCTGCAGCTAAGAATACTCTACCCAGCAAAAATATCCTTCAAAAATGATGGAGAAAGTAAAACTTTCCCAGATAAACAAAAGTTAAGGGAATTCATCGCCACAAAACCTCCTCTTCAAGAAATGCTCAGGAAGAACCTCATTCCTGAAAAATCAAAAAAAGGAAAGGGGTTACAAAATCCAGAACAAAGGAGATAAGCAGAAGGACAATAACACAAAGTAACAGCTCTCCATCAGGACAGGTTAGCAAAAGTTAAATAAAACATTAAAGATAAATGGAACGGAAACACCAAGAATAAATATAACCTAGTCATTTTAACCACAAACTCACAACACAAAAAAGAAGAGAAAAAAAAATCTGACAATAACAACTTAGAAGGGGAAGAGAAAAGCGGTGGAATGTTTTAATTTAAGGAAATAAGAGGCTACTGGAAAGAGGAGTATCTCATCTACGAAATGTGTTATACAAACCACCTGGTAACCACTAAACAAATAACAAGAATAAAGAAACAAATTACAAATAAGAAGAAAGCCAATACAGAAATTTACCTACTTGAATTAGGAATCCAAAAATCATGTGACAAGAAACAAAGGAAATGCAAAAGAACCGGAAAACAAGCAATAAAATGGCAACAGTAGGCCCCCACGTTTCAATAATCACTCTAAATGTAAATGGATTGAACTCTCCAATCAAAAGGCACAGAGTGGCAGGATGGATCAAAGAACAAGATCCAACAACATGCTGCCTCCAGGAAACACACCTCAGCCCCAAAGACAAACACAGACTCAGAGTGAAGGGATGGAAGACAATACTCCAAGCTAATAATGAACAAAAGAAAGCAGGTGTTGCCATACTTATATCAGATAAAGTAGACTTCAAAGCAAAACAGATAAAGAAAAACAAAGAGGGGCAGTATATAATGATAAAAGGGATGCTCCACCAAGATGACATAACACTTATAAATATATATGCACCTAACACAGGAGCACCAAAATTCGTAAAGAAACTATTAACAAAACTAAAAGGAGACATCAACAGCAATACAATAATAGTAGGGGACCTCAACACCCCATTAACACCAATGGACAGATCATCCGGACAGAAAATCAACAAGGAAATTATAGAATTAAGTGAAAAATTAGATCAGATGGACCTAATAGATATATATAGGACACTTCATCCAAAAACAGCAGGTTACACATTCTTCTCAAGCATGCATGGAACATTCTCAAGGATAGACCATATCTTGGGAAACAAAGCAAGCATCAATAAGTTCAAGAGGGTTGAAATAATATCAAGCATCTTTTCTGATCATAATGCTATGAAACTAGAAATCAACTACAAGAATAAAGCTGGGAAAGGGGCAAAAATGTGGAGACAAAACAACATGCTACTGAACAATCAATGGATTATTGAAGAAATTAAAGAAGAAATCAAATATTATCTGGAGACAAATGAAAATGAAAACACACCGTATTAACTTATCTGGGACACAGCAAAGGCAGTCCTAAGAGGGAGATTCATTGCAATACAGGCTCACCTCAATAAGCAAGAAAAATCTTACATAAACAACCTCAAATGACACCTAACGGAATTAGAAAAAGAAGAACAAACAAAGCCCAAAGTCAGTAGAAGGAGGGAAATAATAAAAATTAGAGCAGAAATACATGATATTGAAACAAAAAAGACAGTAGAAAGGATCAATGAAACAAAGAGTTGGTTCCTTGAAAAAATTAACAAAACCGACAAACCCTTAGCCAGACTCACTAAAAAAAAAAAAGAGAGAAGTCTCAAATAAATAAAATTAGAAATGAGAGAGGAGAAATCACAACAGGTACCGAAATACAAAGGATCATAAGAGAATACTATGAAAAACTATATGCCAACAAATTGAACAACCTAGAAGAAATGGATAAATTCCTAGACTCATACAGCCTCCCCAAACTGAATAAGGAAGAAATAGAGAATCTGAATAGACCAATCACAAGCAAAGAAATAGAAACAGTAATCAAAAACCTCCCCAAAAATAAGAGTCCAGGACCAGACGGCTTCTCTGGAGAATTCTACCACACATTCAAAGAAGATTTAATACCTATCCTTCTCAAACTATTCCAGAAAATAGAGGAAGATGGAGCACTCCCTAATACATTCTATGAAGCCAACATCATCCTGATCCCCAAACCTGACAAGGACAACACAAAGAAGGAAAACTACAGACTAATATCACTGATGAACATAGATGCAAAAATCCTCAACAAAATTTTGGCAAACCGAATACAGCAATACATCAAAAAGATTATATGCCATGATCAAGTGGGATTTATACCAGAGACACAGGGATGGTAATAAAAAAAACACACAAAAAAAATGGGAGAGAGAACAATATGGGAGAGGAAGAAAGATGGAGGTCAAGTCATTAATAGGTTGGGACTGAGCTAGCAAAATTCAGAAGAAAATGTTAATGTGTTCTCATCTGTACCCACACACTAGAAAGAGCTGGGCACACGCAGGCTCTTACAATAATAAGAATCCTACGATAATAAGAATATTGTACTCTTATATTTTGCTCTCATGATGAGGGCTTGACATTATTGGGCACCACGTATACCTGTGAGACTGCCATGCCTCAGAGATCTATGTACCAGAAAATATTCCCAAGTGAAACGATGCACTTAGATGTTCTGGCAGGGTAATCACTTGATAAGAAGGTATTTCAACTGTTAATAGGAAGTTAGCAGAAAAGATTCCTTGGTCTGGTGAAGATTGTTTTAGGCATAAGCATATGTCATATACAGAATAACTTTTATCTAAAAATTTAGAAAAGGAAAAGCTGCATAAAGATCAAACTTTGGTAGCTTGGCATTAGGATGGCAGGACAGTGCAAGAGTATTCATAAATCCAAGCACTGTGGATTTCCTTAGTTTCATCTAGTTTAAGGTCAAAACTGCTACAAACCGACAGATGTATATGCATTTCAAACTATCTGGATAGAGCACAGAACAGACTATATTCTCTTTCCCAACATTTTTGAAATGGAATCAAATTATTCTAATATCTTGTTCATCATCCACCCCTACCTGAGCTCTTTGATTCTGCCATACCTCATGCAGTGAAACCATGCATACTTGCTTTATGTGTTAGGTTCCAGAGGATAAATGAGAATACCGCATGCATTTAAAATTCCCATAATTTATTTCATTAGTATACATGTTAAAATGAGTATAGGAGACTATTTGAGTTCAAAGTTTGCGTAAAATTAACTGCACGTATAATTAATACTTACAAAGGTATTTTGAGTGAATGCCAGTTTTCTAAAGAGTGACTTTATTAAACAGTGGAGTTATTAAACCAGACATTAACCCTCCTAAGTTTGGGCAGAGAAGAACTCAAGAAAGAGGGTCTTCAACTAAGAAGCAGCAGTTGTACGAGATGTTCTAGATTCTTCCCCCAAGACTCACTTCTTCTTTGGGGTTGTTTCATTTTGATTCTCAATGTCATTATCACTTCTGGATACAGGGAAAATTCCTCTTTAAAAATCCAACTCATCTTTTAAAAACATAAGATGCCAATAATTTATTCCCAAAAATATATGTGTGCATTTTTTTAAAGAGGGAGCTTTCACTAAAAACTTGGACAGAAAGTTCACGTGAACATGGAAAATACAGACTCATTAAAGGAAGGCCAATTTCTAAATAGCTTTGTGTCATTAAGGTGTCTAGAGAAGTAGCAACTGGTTTGGCTCCTCAGTTTAAGACAAACACACTTGGCTCTAGACTGCAGAGGTTACTAACAGGGGAGTGCCTTTTCCTCAACAGATGGCCGCTGGCTGCCGTCATCTCTACCTTGTCACCTGTGTTATACTAAGAAGAACAGCTCATCTCCCACCCAAGGACAGAGTGCAAACATGAAGCTCACAATCTCAGATTAACTGGTGGCTGCCAACTCAATTTTGCTTTTCGATTTGAGGAGCAAGGGTAACTGGAAGGGTGGTGGCTTATGGTCCATAAATGGTCCTCTGGTGTTTTCCTTCCTGCCGATAGTAGTCATCTCTGTGACTACAAGGCCCTCTCCTATGACACACTCAATATATGCCATCCCCTCCGTTAGGAAGTAACTAGACAAAACCTACTCATTTCATATGAAAAATCTTAGTAATACATACAATAATGATTGCATGCAAATGTTGCAAATTAAACACGGATACTCCCACACGAAATTAAATTTGAGGAAATTGATGACTGACCACCTAAAATATTCAATTAACAAAATACTTTTTTTTAAGGCCAACCTATATTTAGTTTTGACTGATGCCTTTGAAGGAATGTGGCATACCTTGGTTTATCAGTGTGATCTTTAGCTTCTTGACAACTCACAATTAAAAACGCACCATTCACAAGGACATAACTGCAGTAGTCATATTAATTCCTGTAGCAAAGGTATCCAAACTAAACTATTTATTTATTTATCTAAATTAAGGTTTTAAGAGGCCAAAACTACAAATCTAGAATAAATTACTTAGATAATTTTCTTGCTAATTAAACATTTAGTAAACATTAAAGTTTTTGGTATTAAATATTTGGTAACTTCATTCATTTATCAGTGCTATCAAAATGCAAATAAGAAATAAGAACAACTGTCTAGCTATCAAAGTAGGTTTAAAAAATAACTATATTTAGATATCTTCATTTGTGACCTTCTATCTCTAATGTTAGCTCTAAGAAAAGGTATCGTTAAACATATCAACAGACAACATGGTGGCAGAAAGGTGAAAAATATGTCAAACTTTAAAAAATATTTATATTTAAAAGAATACTTACTCTTTTGCTTGCCTCTAAGAGGATATATCCTGAGTTTTTCAATAATATCAACCATGATCAAGGAAGTCACAACCAGAGAGACTGCCAGGTCAGGTAATGTATCAGGTAAAACATCAGCAGAACCATTAATACTCTTTTGAACCTGTTTTCAGAAAGCCATTCAGAAGCATTACATTTTTGTGGTTTCTTGTTCAAAATTCTTTTAATAGTCTGAAAGTGGCACTAAATTAATTATCAATACATTTGCTAAAAGACTAGAAGCTTGGTTTTCAGTCTCTCAGGTGTTCATCCCCACAAGGTTTTGAACTATTTCTAAAGAAGTAATAAAGATTCATACGAATGTAAGAGCTTTCATTTGAAATAGAGCTTGGTAAATGCATGTAAAATATAACAGTAGGCTCCTGGAATGGTGGGATGGGGAATTCCTTCCAACCCCGCTGCTAAGCGGAACCTCTGAGAGTCCCAGCTCAAAGAGGTAGGGGGACAAATACTGGAGTTTAGGATCTTTGAAGAAGGGAGAGCCTGGGTAAAGCCAGCTAAGCTTTGGAGTACTTCCTTCATCTAATTAAGGTATCTACAAAGAAATCTATGGAAAGCATCGTGTAAATGGTGATACATTGAGAATTTCCTTCTGAGATCAGGAACAAGACAAAGGTGCCACCATGACCATTTCTATTCAACATTGTACTAGAGATCCTAGCCAGTGTAATAAGGCAAGAAAAAAACAGTACATGTATTAGAAGAAAGAGAAACAAAATATCATTATTCATAGACAATATGATTGCATGTGGATAAAATTCAATGCGTTATTTCTACATATGAACAACAAAAAGAAAATGAGATTTTAAAAAAGATATCTTTCAATTAAACCTCAATCAGAATTCCAAGTTTTTGTGGAAAATAACAAGCTGATTCTAAAATGTATATAGAAATGTAAAGGTCAAGACATTACAGAAGAAAAACAAAAAAATATGAAGATTTACTGTTCCACATGTAAAAAGCTATTATAAGACTACAAGAATTATCATAGTGTGGTGTCAGCACAGGAACAGAAAAGTAGACAATAGGATAGAACAGAACTCAGAAAGAGACCACACATATACACACCTGATTTATAACAAGGGCAGCACTGCAGAGAAATGTGGGAAAACAGACTTTTTAATAAATGGTGCTCAGTCCATTGGATGTTATTTGGGGAAAAAAATAAATAAAACTTGACTCCTTCCTGCACAACATACACAAAAATTAGTTCCAGATGGACTGTGAATCTAAAAGAGAAGGGTAAAACAATATCGGCTGCAAATTATAATATAGGAGAATATCTTCAAGACTTTGAGGTCAGGTTCACAATATATAACATCTTCTCAAGCAAGTTACCAAAAGAACTATCCATAAAGGACAGAAATTGATAAATTGGACTATTTTTAAATTAAGAACTTCTCTTCATGAGAAGAAACCAGAGTATTAAATCACAGAGTGAAGATGTCTGTAATGCATATAATTTACAAAGGGCTTGAAATTTGAATATATAAATGTCTTCCCAAATCAATTTTTCAAAAAAAAGCAACACAATTTTAAAAAATGAGCAAGATAAAAAAATGCTCCATCTCAATTATTAGAAAAATGTAATTTAAAACTACAGTGAAATTCAAGACTATACACACCAAGATGGCTAAAATAAAAAGACGTACAATGCAAGCACTGGTTAGGATGTGGAGCAGCAGGAATGTTCATTCTCTGCTAGTGGAAGTCTAAATGAGTCTATTCTCTTTGGAAAACTGGCATTTTCTATTAAAAGTGAACATCTGAATATGTTATGACCCGTCAATTCCACTCCTGCATATTTAACCAACTAAGATGCTTGCACGTGTGCCCCAAGAGATATATTCAAGGATTCAGCAGCATTACTTGTAATAGTAAAAATTGGAAACAACTGAAATGGCCATCAAAGGGAGAGCTGATAAATAAATTGTGATATATTCATAAAATGAAATACCCTACCAGAATGAAAATGAAGGGAATGCAGTTGTTCACAAAAAACATGAATGAACCACACTTTTGAATAAAAGAAGTCAGACACAAACTAGACAGACAGGTAGAGACATATTATATATCATTTCATTTCCCTTTACAAAAGGTTCAAAAACAGATGAACCAATCTGTGGTCCTAGAAGACAAGGGAGAAGTTACCTTTGGGGAGGAAGGAAAGGCAGTCATTGCACAGAGTATGAGGACGGCTTTTAGGGAGCTGGCGAAGTTCTATTCTTTGACCTGAAGTGTTAACATAGGGATTTGCTCGGTGGTCTTCCATTCATATTGTATATTTTATGTTTTGTGTACTTCTCTGTTTCTGTGTTATACTTCAGAGAAAAATTAAACTAAATTAAATTTAAAAAATATGCAACAGAGGGTGAGACATAATGGAAAAGAACCAAAAAGGGCGATCAAACTACAGATACACCATCATTTTATGAGTAGTCTTCCTTAAAGGTTGTAAACTGAATTTTTAAGGCTCTTGGGAACCTCCAAGAACTTTATAAGGTATTTGTGGAGAGGGAAGAGAAAATGATACATCTAGATGAAAATATTCATGTACTGCCGCTTGATACAAAGCACACATGTGTGGCCTTCTGAGCTTATGCTATGTCTTCATATATTGTCCTAATGTAGCATCTAGGACGTATTCTAACAATTACGTCGTTTCTTTCTTTTTTTTTCTTTGGCGAGGAAGATTGGCCCTGAGCTAACACCCATGCCAATCTTCCTCTATTTTGTATGTTGGATGCTGTCACAGCATGGCTTGATAAGCAGGGTGTAGGTCCGTGCCTGGGATCCAAACCCACGAACCCTTGGTTGCCAAAGTGGAGTGCATGAACTTAACCACTACGCCACCAAGGCAGCCCCTGACAATTAGGTAATTTCTAGTGATATCTTATATTATCTCACACTCACCTCTCTCACAACACTTATCATACTTGTTCTAAATGACTGTTTATTTTTCTGTCTACTGTCAATAAATAATTACTGAAGGCCCTAAATTTCCTGAGCACTCTATCCCCAGTACCTGCTCCCTATCCATGGTACCTAGCATATAACATGATCTTAGTGAATAGCTCCTCAACACAGAAAAGAAATATCACAAAGTAACTCAAGTTGTGCACTTGGGAGAAGTGAAAATTACATCTTTCACAGGATCTTGCAAATTAATAAGATTAGTAGGGCATTCTTCTTTGAACTTCTTGGATAATAAAGTTTTTACAGCCTGAAAGTTCTGCCTATATTATTCCTGTCCTTCAGATGTCCACCCACCAGAGTCCTTTTGAAGCTACAGTTACTTGAAACATAAATTCAAAGTTATTTTCAAATAAATACCATGTGCAAATTATTTGTCAAAGGATATATTATCAAAGGTCTTAAAGTGGAGTGGTTGCTCCCTAGGATATTGTTCTATTCCATTTTAGAACTAAGGACACTCATGAATAACATCAGGATAGAAGAAACAAATGTGGCTCTACATTCAAATTCCTTGCTTTTTTATTATTTTGAAATAACATTCTCGTCTCTCACATACAAACATATAAGCAATTTTTTTAAAATCGGCTGCTGGACTTTCCTCCACAATCACAGAGGGAATAACGATTTAGTACTTTAAATATATATACTGCAACATGGAAGAAGACCGGACAAAATAAACTTTAAGATATTTGTTTGGCATACTGCTCTATCAAACCCCAATAACAGAGGAAATTTTAAAATCTCAAAATCTTGCAGCAGAAGAAATTAAAATTCCATACCTCAGTCACTGCTATAGAAAAGCTGAAGCTGGGAAGCGTTGTGAGTACTACACACATCATCGTAACAGGTCTCCTAGCAAAGGAGAAAAAATAAGCAAAAGCAATAATGTACCAGATCAACAGTTCCTGTTATTTTGCTAATTTTGCAGTTCCTCTTCCATTCATCTATAGTTTTTCTAAGAAGCTACTGCTTCCCTATTTCCATTTCCCAAATGTTCGAGTATGGCAAAGGGCAACACGTGCAAAACCCAGAGTCCTTTTCTGGAACAAAAGGAGGAGAGATTTCCAAATAGTTAACAAACCATAGATGACTAAAAGCATCACAGGGCACAGTGCAAGACATTCAACATTTTCACGACTCATTCATCAGAATCCTGCCAAACAGGTCGGGATCTGAGGACCAAGTGGAAGAACAGAGGGACTTTCTCAAGTTCTACTATGCCCCATGTTATAAAATGAATTTTTCAAAAAATACATTTAGAAGTGATATATTAATAGGTACTTTAGGATGACAAAGTGAAAACATTTGGATATTTTTGACTTGAAGGAAAAAAATCATATGTACATAAAAATCAGGTAATTTTTTAAAATTTGGTTTGGGGCTACTTCTTAAACCTTGCATGATCAATTAATCACATAGTTATTGAGATATAATGTGTATATAATATTCTACCTTACGACAGAGAGAATTAAAATGCATGTTCAGCATCATCAATTTAATGGGAAGACAAAATATACTCCAAGGTTTTCAGTAATGAAATATTTACCTCCTCTTTCCTTAATTGAATACATATTATATGAATTACATTTATGGGATAGTTTGTGTCTAAGTACAAAGAGTGTTGGAGTCTCTCAAATAGAATTTCTCCGTGGTCCTGCCATGCCTCCCTGCATCCCAGCCCCTTCTTAGATGTTCTAGGTACAGGTACAGACATAAGATAGGGGGTGGGATAGCTACTCTCACAGCCAGACCCTCTATGACCTGCTAAAACCAGAGGTATCCTGGGATTTAGAATGGGTAGCTCTGCCTCCTTTTCTGAGCCCAGATCCAGGTACCTACAGCAGTTGGCTCTGTAAGATGGCTAGAGCGTCCAGAATCCTCTTCTCACCTTGACCTTGAAAAGATGACAGTAGAGTGCCCTTGCACCTCTTCGTCATCTATAGTATAGTATCTCCCTTGATTATCTCAGCCAATCCCATGTCTTTAAATACCACCCACTTGCCCATGAGTTCCAAATATATCATTATATATAGTATATATATATATGTTATATATATATAATGGCCTCTATCTTGAGCTCTAGACTTGTACACCCAGCTGTCTATTTGACATCTCCACTTGGATATCTAGCACACAATTCAGACTTAACATCCCTGAAAAAGAACCCACATCCTTCTCCATACCTGTTCCAATCATCATCAATCCTGCCTGATTTACTGCCAAAATACATTTCGAATCCTTCCTCTGCTAACACCATGGTTCATCCACTATCGTCTCTCGTCTGAGGTTGTTCCTAACCGGTTTCCTCTTAGTGTTTCTATTCTTGTCTAGCAGCATTTTCTCCCATGAACAAACCATCATATTTTTAAAATGTAAAACACATCTGGTCACACCCTGCTCAAAAATCCTCAATGCTGGGAGGAATGGGGAACAGGGGGTTATTGTTTAATGGGAACAGAGTTTAAGTCTTGCAAGATGAAAAGGGTTCTGTGGAAGGAGGGTGGTGCTGGACGCACACTGATGTGAATGTACTTAATGCCAGGGATCTGGATGCTTCAAAACAGTTAAGATGGTCAATTTCGTGTTATTTGTATTTTACCACAAAATACATGTATTTGTGTATTTTAGGGATTTGTAAAACGCTCTAATGGTTGACTAATTGAAAGCTATTACCCTAGCCTACGCGCTCTACATGATGTGGTTTTTTTCATTTCTCCTACTGTCCTAACTTGGAATGACCTTCCTCCCCCCCAACATCCACTTAACTCCAGCCATACTGGCCTTCTGGTTATTTCATGATCACACCAAGCTTGCCCCACCTTTAAGTCGTACACTGGCTATTGCTTTTGCCAGGGGCTCTCTACTCCTGGATCTTCCATGTCTGGCTCCGGTTGTCATCCAAATACATATGTACATATATATTCTTTTTTTTTTTTTTTTTGCAGTCCAATGACTACCTGAAATTCTGCTGCTGATTTCTTTACTTGCTGTTTGTCACATCCCTCTTTGCCCATCCCCAAGGTAAGTTCCATGGAAGCAGGGACCTTATTGGAGTTGTTCCCTACTTAATCTCCAGCATTCAGAACAATGTTTCTGACCCTTTTTTGTGCAATAAACATTCTGGGGATCTGGTAAATCCTATAGACACTTCTCAGAATAGAATTTTTAAATGCATAAAATACTTAGACTCAAAAAAACCAAAGCAATTATGTTGAAATACAGCTAATTCTTTTAAAATTGTGATATAGAAATATATATGCCTATCTAAGAATACATTGCCTTCTTATTTCCTTTAGAGTATTCAAGATCTAGTGGAAACTGTAATCATTCATAATTTCAAAGTATTGAAGATTATAAACCATATTCTGAAGTATCTGCAACAATTACAATGTGACATAAAAAGATCTGTGACATGCAATATGAAAAATCTATGTAATAAATTTACCGGTACTGCTTATACTAGTGTGGTTTGTTACCAACATTCATAATGGAAAGAAATGTTAGCTCAGTTAGAGATTAGTGAAAATAGAGATGTAACTTGTTTCTCATCCATTCAAGTTCAAGAACCCCATAACACTAGAGAATGTCTGGCACACAGTAGGAATTCAATAAATACTAAATGAAGGGATAGAATAGTTAATAAATGAACACTAATCTAAGCCTGCATTTTATTTAACCAGAAATGATAACCTGCATTTGAAAATTTTGACTTATTGCTAACATATGCTTGTAATTAATGAGTGTCGTGGGTTGAATTGTGTCCCCCCAAAAAGATATGTTGGAGTCCCAACCCCCGGTGCCTGAGAAAGTAACCTTATTTAGAAATATGGTCTTTACTGAGGTAATAAGTTAAAATGAGGTCATTAGGGTGGACTATGATCCAATAAGACTGGTGTCCTCACAGAAAGGGGTAATTTGAGGCAGATTTGTATAGAAGGAAGATTATGTGAAAGACACAGGAAGATGCCATGTGAAGATGAAGGCAGAGGTCAAGGTAATGCATCTACAAGACAAGGAATGCCAAAGAGCGCCAGAAAACTGCCAAAAGCTAGCAAGGAGACCTGGAACAGATTCTCCCTCACAGCCCTCAGAAGGAACCAACTCCACCATGACCTTGCCCTTGGACTTCTAGCCTCCAGAATTATGAGACAATAAATTTCTGTTGCTTAAGCCACTCAGTTAGAAGGACTTTATTATAACAGTTCTAGGAAACTAATACAGAATTTGCAACAGGGAAGTGGGGGTACTGTTGTAACAAATACCTAAAAATGTGGAAGTGGTTTTGGAATTGGGTAATGGATAGAGTCTGAAGACACACGATGGAAAAGGTTAGATTGCCTAGATTGTCAGTGGAAATATGGACATTAAAGGAGTTTCTGGTGAGAGCTCAGAAAGAAAAGGAAGAGCAGAAGAGAAAGCCTCTCTCACCCTAGAGAATACATATATTGTCGTGAACAGAATGTTGCTAGAAATATGAATGGGAAAGGTGCTTCTGATGAGGTTTCAGACATAAACAAAACTGGAGGAAAGGTGATCCTTTCTATAAAGTGGCAGAGAACTTGTTTGAATCGTGTCCTGCTGGGTAGAAAGGAGAACTTGTAAGTGATGAACTCAGATATTTAGCTGAGAAGATTTCTAAGGAAAGTATTGAAAGCACTGCCTCATCTCTCCTTGCTGATTAAATTAAAATGTAAGAGGAGAGAGACAAATTGAAGAAGGGACTGTTAAGCAAGAAGGAGCCAGAACTTGAAGATTTGGAAAATTCTCAGCCAATCTCCATTGCAAAAAAATGAGAGAGCATGTTCTAGAAAGAACCCTAAGGGTGTGGCTTGCGAATCCAATCAACCATCTCAGCAGAAACACTGACAGCTTGCAGTGAAGGGGAACAGAGATGGGACAAAATGAGGGAAGGCTGCCAGACTTCTGGGATACAATAGGCAGGAAACAGGCTGATAGAACTCTTTGCTGCAAATACGTATTATCCTTCTAGAAAAGGGAAGAATGACTTTGACAGTGCTACAGAGGCCAGGGAGGCTGCCACTGCTACCGCAGGCCCAGAGGTTTCCTCTTCAGATCCAGAGGGCAAGGCTGCTGCCAATCGCCAAGAGGGTGGAGCTCTCATTCTGCTGAGCCCAGAGGACAGAGTATCCAGACACAGAGGATTATTCTGAAGCCTTAAAATTTAATGAAATTTGCCCTGATGGGTTTCAGACTTTCTTGGAACTCATGACCTTTCATCCTTCCAATTTCTCCCTTTTGGAATGGGAGTGTCTATCCCGTGACAGCCCCACCATTCTATGTTGGAAGCAAATAACTTGTTGCCTGGTTTCACAGGTTTACAGATAGAGAGAAATTTTGCTTCAAAATGAATTGTACCCCAACTCTCACCCATAACTGAATTGGATGGTTTAGTGATGAGTTTGGGGACTTTGAGTTAACGATGTTTAGATGATATTTTGAGCTTAGAGTTGATGCTGGAATGATTAAAACTTTTGGAGCTGTTGGGATGCAGTGACTCTATTTTTCACGTAGGAAGAATGTGAATTTTGAGGGCCAGAGGGCAGACTGTTAGAGTTGAATTACATCTCCCAAGAGACATGTTGAAGTCCCAACCTCCAGTACCTCAAATGTGGCTGTATTTGGAAATAAGGTCTTTCCAGAGGTAATAAGTTAAATTGAGGTCATTAGGGTGGGCCCTGATCCAACACGACTGGCGCCCTATAAAGAGAGGAAATTTGAAGAACCTGCCAGTCTTTCAAGGCTCCCCATAACCTGGCCTTAACTCTCCAACATGTTACAATAACACTCCTACTCTGCGCTAACCCTCGTGAGCTCCCACCACACGCTAAGCA